AAAAAAAAAAAAAAAAAAAAAAAATAGAAACCAAACAAGCACGTTCACATTTGTAAAAAAATAAAGTAATAAAATATACACTTTTTATTGTAGTGTTTTTATAGAATTGTATATTTAAATGTTTGTAAAAAGTGTAATTGTTTGAAAAAAAATACGTTGTTTATACAATATTTATACAAAAAGCAATTTACAACAATTCACATTTTTTCGCCGCTGGGATAATATCCCAGATGACTATATTCCCAGGTTAATTTCAACCAGATTAGTTTATTTTTATGTGTGATATAATATTTATTTTATATCTGGCCGACAGCGTTTTTACGGTAATGTTACGTTACGGAAAAAAGGTAGCGTCTAATTTGGCGTCAGCGACGTTTTTATATTATTTTTACTATCAATTTACGAACGTGCGAACGCGTCGATCGACACCGTCGCGCGCGAGAAAGTGGCGAGGTTAAATGATCTAATCGACACCGGCTTAACGATCGGCGATCCCGGACGGTTTGTAATTGACGGCGATCGATAATGCCGAGCGCCATGGTCTCCTCTCTTCGAAGTATCACCCACGAAATGGTGAGAATCCAGCTTAACGAGCCCATGGAAAAAGCTAATGGCTCGACTTCGACAACGACTTCGTAAAAGGAAAGACACGCGCCCCTATTTTACGATGACCGTCTCGACGCGACGCGACACGGCGTGAAAATGGGCAAGGCGTGATGTAAGATATCGTCAGTTATGGTACATCATAATTTCCGCGGTTGTCCGTACGTCTCGGTAACAATGTTACGCGCCTTCGCGCGTTGGGTGTGGATTCGACGAGATTGTTGTCTCGCGACGCATCAACTAGACACGGTCTCGAGTTTCGAACGTTTGCAGAAACGATCGTCGCGATAGGAGCCCTACTGCAGATTTACCTACGCCTTTTCGTGAGAAGAAACACAAATACGAACTGTGTCCCAACAGAAATTTGTTAAACTTATATACATCCAAGTGTTGTTTAAGATGTACAAAGAAGAATATAATTTTGAAAAACCTGTTGTCTAAGTTCGATTCCAAAATCTTCAATATATGATATAATTGTGTCTTAATGGCCGAGTTTATATTGCTCAGACGATATGGAAAAAATTTATATTTATAATATCTGATGTTCGTTTAAATAACATTACACTGATTGATAGTTTCATTATAAATGTTTGAGATTATAATAAATATTATAAATTATGATGAATAAAATAATGAATAAAATTAAAATATTGAAAAGATATTTTACACATTGAATTCTACGCATATATTGCTTCGAACAATGTATTGTGTGTGTGATATCTAATATTTTATTTTATTATTTATTTTAAGTACAATAATACATCATTTATTTTTCATAATCTTTTTTATAAGTAATCCTATATTTTATCCTATCTGTCATTTCCCGAATTATATATATAAAAACTGTATTTAAATCTTTTACATAACGTTAAATGGAGTTGCATAATTTTCACGTCGATAACATTGAACATGATCTTCGTAAAAGTCAGAATCACACAACTCCCACGTTTAGGGCTAAACGAGATGTGAATGCAAACCGCAATAATGTCTCAATCCGTAGAGTAATATATCACAATCTTGCATAGTTGCAGGATACTAGCCTACAACATTCAGAACCGTCAAATAATTATACTGTTGGCGTCCTACACTGTGACTTTCGTAAAACCGCTCACCTCGATCTAATGAACCCGGTAATAGAAATTATGTGGTAAAGTCAACAATTTATGGCGCAGTCGGGGGTTAATTAGTATTGTATGATAATGAAACGTGGAGCTCATTGCTTGCTAGTC